TTTTATATAACATGTTTTTTTTCTCTTGTAATATAATTTTTCTCAATTAAAAAAAAAAAAAAAAAAAAAAAAAACAATTCGATTGTCATCATCATAATACAGGGTGGTCACCGAGAGAAATAAATCAAAATCATCAAAATTCCCTCACATCAAATGTGTGTGTGTGTTTCTGAAATGAGAACATTAATATTTTTTTTTTCAATCAAATCGAGTACAAAATGTTATTTTGTGACTGGATCTATTGGATTTGGTTGCATCCTACGCTTTTTTTTCTCATTTGTATAAAAAAAATATGGTTTGTTTTTATGAGAACGAGATGAAAAAACAAAATAATAACATGACATGACATGAATTCCAATATGAATTCTTTATTTTTTGCTTACGGCTTTTTTCTTCTTATTTTTGGTTATGAGGCCCACAACAACAACAACAACAACCGTCAATCACAGCCTAAATAAAACCACTAACCACACTAATAATAATCATAATTTTATTCAGGTTTTTTTATTTAAGGTTTATCCTCTGTTCAGATGGTTCATGAATTTTCATTATATTGATGAATTAGTTTTATTCTTCAATTGTAGATATTACTTTTTGCCCATATTCTGATTAATGTGATGATGATTTATTTGAAAAAAAAAGAGATTGCCAATCATATCAAAGATTAATTATATCAGGTCAATATTTAATGGTAAACGATAAAAGAAAAATAAAATCTGATTTCAAATAAAAAATAACAAAGAAAAATATTGCCTAATCGATTATGATCGATGATTGATTAGATGAAAAAGAAATTCAATAATAATTTTTGATAAAAATGATGAAAGTTTGTGTGTGTGTGAAAATCGATATGAATAACTAGTATGAAAAAACAACAAAAAATTATTTATAGAAATTATCATTTGAAATGAGATAGAGATTTTTATATTTAAAATTTGTTAACATCATTTTCATTCACATTGTTTTCTATATCATTATCATCATCAAAGAATTTTTTTTTTTGAATATCATCATTTGTCATCGAATTTTTTTCCTATTCATCATCATCATCGTTCGGTCATAAGCAATGGGAATTCTTTTTTTTTTTTTTTTTGTTTGATTGGCTGGTTGGCCAATTTGCTATGCTATCGCATTGCATCTCACCCAGAATTCATTGCACTTAGTTTTTGTTTTGTTTTGTTTTGGTTTGGCGCTATTACCATAATACTAAAACTATTATTATGACTAATATATTGTGTACAGTGAAAAAACACACGCACATCATATTAGTAATAACTGAATAACTGAAGAAGAATTCTTCATCAGTTATTATTCTCTGGCTTCATGACAATAATCACTTTACAATAGTGAAATGAAAAAAAAAAATATATAAAGGAATGACGTTTCTCATTCTTTTTGAATGTTTTTTATTTTTACTTTTTATGGGCGTTCTTCATTTTTTTTTTGTTGAATTGAATTGAAATGCAATTTAGTTTTGCTTCGTTGTAAAAATAAAATATGTGATTTAAATGTGTGTGTTGTATGAAATACAATAGAATGGAGAAAAGAATTTAGATAGAGAATGAAAAAAACCGATTGAGTTTAATAATGTCGTAAACATTTTTTTTTGTTGAAAAAAATCACTGCCTTATTTGTATCTTACGATCATCATCAACAACTATATTCTTTTCATATTCTGGATATGGATTTGATTCGAATGTGTGTGTGTGTGTGTGTGTGCAAATGTCCATTATAACATTCTAATCCACCACCAATAAAAAAAAGAAAAACATTGTATGTATGTAATGACACCGAAAAAAATAAATTCAAAGTCAAAAACCTAAAAATCAATTATGTGTTAATCATCCAACAACATTGAATAAAATCCGTAAAAAATAGTATAGCCACACATATGTTTGTTGGGTAATATATAAAATGAATTTTTTCTTTTTCTAATTCGTTAAATTTTTCATTATATCAAGATAGAGCCCTCAAAAAAAAGAAAATGTTTTTTCCTATTTTCTCTAAAAGTAGTAAATTCCCATTCATTGATGGAAAACGGGCAAAAAAAACATCATTCATTCATTCATTCATTCATTCCAGCATGTGCATAATATGTAGTGAATCCTAAATAACGTTGTTGTCTATTTTTTTGAAAAAAAAACTAAATGCGCACATCCAAAAAAAAGAAGACTCTCTTTTATCATTGAAATGCGTACATGTGTGTAATCATCGGATACAGATACGAATTTTTGAAAAAAATGAGCATCATCATTTACAATTTGAGCGACTAGTTGAGCATTTCATTCATGATGATGATCATGATGAATGCACACACACACACATGATACTGGACACAGCAATTGAAAAAAAATTTTGCGGGAAATTTTTCTTCATTCTAATATCATTGAATCTAACGGAATGAATATTTTTTGGCTTCTCTTTTGGTTTATTTTGAAAAATAATCCATCTGTGAATTTTTTGTTTGTTTGTTCGTTAACAAAATATAACATTTTGCAACATTTGACATTTGATTTTGAATTTTGTTTACCTGTGTTTATTTTGTTGGCTATTTGTTTGTTTGTAAATATTTACCACCTGTGTTTGCGTGTGTGTCAAAAAAAAAGTTCAACCAAAAAAAAATGACATTTTTCATTTTTGTTTTCTGATTGATTTTATCGGCTTTTTTTAATATTTGCTGCTTTCTACCAATCAAAAAAAAAAATTGTCGAATCCAAAAATCAACAACAAACAAAATTATCGATTGATTTTAATCACGTTTTCATCTATCAGTCTATCAGGCAAACAAATAACAACAACAAAAATCCTCACGTTTATTGATTATAATAAGAAAAAAAACCAAAAATCCTAATCGACACCTGATCATCATCATCATCATCGGTTTTTTTTGTTTCTTAGTGAAAATTTTCTATCAAACAAACAAATTGATGAATTGGCCAATTGTTCCGGGACACCCTATTGTTTGGATTCCATTAAAATATATTCTCTTTTTTTTGATAAACACACAAGAACAACGATTTATGTTTGAACTAAATATTTTTTTAGGGAAAATAATAGAAAAAAACCCGGCTACTTGATGTTATATGATGATATTATAATGGAAAAAAGAGAAAAGTATACAAAAATATATGAGCGCTTCTGATCCGTTTGATCATAAATCTTTTTTTTTCTCGTTCTTTTTTACCATTGTTCATATGGAAAAAAATCAGATCATATCAAACAAATATCAAACAACAAAAAAATATCCGAAAGATTGATCCGTTGAATTTTCTGTGTGTGTGTGTGTAATGTGTGTATGTTTTTTCTAATAGCAGTTTTGTTGTTGTTATCCAAATTGAAGCCGGTAATATAATTTCATTATGAAAAGTAAACTATGATTGAGAATAATTTATTATTTTTTTGTCGTTGTTGTTGTTACATCAATGAATGACATTCCAATGAGAAAAAATCGGTGGAAATCATTCATTCATATTTAATTTTTTTTCTTCTTCTTCTTTGATAAATGAAATGAACACGTGTTAATCAATCATTTTTTTCTTTTTCCTTCATGATCAATCTATTTGGACTATAGTGAAAACTTCAACACAATTTCTAATCAATCAACAAACAAACAAAAAAACATTAAAGGTATGTGGTATAAATATTGTTTATTTTTAATTCATCAAGCATCAAATGAATTTCAATAAAAATTTCATTCATTTTCAAATGTAAATGTAAATGAAAATATTTTTTTTTTCATAATTATAATTGCGTGTGTAATTAAATTTGATCATCTATAGCTAAAAGGATGGAAAAGAAAACAATCTTGAAACACAAGATGATGATGATGATGAATATTACAAATATTTGTCTCATCACCATCACCGCATTATTAATGTAATTAACAATGAATTCACAGGAAATAAAAACGGAATTCCATATTATTCAAATTCAATGACAATGTGTATGATAATAATAGCGTAAAAAAAATTCACAATTTCATATATAATATTATGATTGTAAATGTAGCCATGTGTAAAATATAATTGTCATTAGTTGTTATTCATAGTCGAAATGATTTGAAATGAATTTACGAATGTAAATTATTGATGAATATTTAGAGAAAGGAACATAAACGAAACATATGAACACATAGCTTTAACAAAACAAAACAAAAATGTTCCAAAAGGAAAAAAAAAATAGTGATATGACTTATGGCTCGATGCAGATGTCAACTCATTTAAGTATGGTGCTTAAATAACTGTTGTTTTTTTTTTAATTTAAGCTAGCCATTTATTCATTCATTCATTTCGAAGAAATTGATCTCATTTTCAATGAAATTTATGATCATATAATACAGGATATGATGTGATTCGATTCATGAATTTCTATGAATCATATTTCATTCATTTTCATTTTCATTTATTTAAAAAATATTTTAATTCTATTCAACCGCAAATTGAAATATATTTTTGTAAAAAAAAGTGTAGAAAATTTACGGGAAATTGAAACGGTTGGGTGGAAAAAAGCATTTCCAATAAATTTTAAATGTAATTTATATTTAGTGTTTTTTTGCCATGATCTTGGTTTGTTGGTTTGGTTCATGAGAATTGCTTGAAGCTAACAATCGATTCTTTTTTCTTTTCTTTTTTTTTGGTCTAATACATTCATCATCATATTCATAATAGATTTGTATTCAATGTGGTTTTTTTTAATCATTGCTGATATTCGTATTCCATTCCAGTCGAACAAATTAGAGAAAAAGAAAATAGAATTCTTCTCAATTAGATCAAAAAAAGAAGATGTATAAAAAAAATTGCTGTTGTTGTAGTTCTATAGTTACACCCAATACTTTTTGTTGTTGTTGAAAATTTCATGTAAGTAGATCAAATATTCATTCATTCATTCATTCACTTAATTTTTTTTCTCTCTTGTTGCCTTAAGTAATTTATTAACAGTGTAATATTTTAAAAGTAAGTAAGGGTACCACAACACTTAACTTATGAACTGATATTTATCATTTCAAATGGTTGGCTGGCTGATTGTTTTACAAGTGGTCTCTCTTTCTTGATAGATGGGTATATTTGAAATTGAAATTTTTTAGAAGAATTTTTTGAGAGAAAGAAAAAAAATGATGAATATTATTTATTTATTCGCAATAAAACATTGATCAAAAAAGAAAGATAAAATAAACAAGCCTTTTTTTGAAGAAAAAAAACTTGAAAAAATAAGAAAAAAAGTAAACATATTTTAAACATATGGCGCCTTGTTCAAAAAACAAATTCCTTAGAATTTATTTGTTGTGTGTGTGTGTGTCTGTGTGTATGTTATTCTTCATTTTTTTCTCTTTTAAGATTACAATGAAGAAAAGTAAATAAATTCATTACATTGAATCGGATTGATGTTTTTTGTTTTCTGGCCACAAGCCTCTTTTTCTTTTCTTTTAGTAATTCTTACTTGAGAAAAAAACAACAGTGTTTTCTTATCTTCTTTCTTTTTTTTTTTTTTTTTTGGCTAAGCGCCCCGTTCATCATCATTCATGAATTGAAACCAATCAACGCATCCCATATCATCATAATCAT